TGAAAGTCGAGGCTGGAGGGCGGCTACATTTAGTTCGTGCCCTGATCGATGTATGCTCTAGCCGAACCATGATTTCGTCTGATTTAGCCAGAGAGTTGCGTTTGGATGAAACACACATGGGCGGAGAAAAGGGCTGCCTTTTGCGACTCAGGGGAAGGCATGGGAAAAATAATCGCATCGTGACTCAGGCCGTTATCTCGCCGCATTTCAATCGCGTTACCCCATCCAGCAGTGTAGACCCCGCAATAGCTGAGCCATATGCGCACATACGACTGGCAGACCCAAGATTTTACGGCTCATCACCGATTCGTTTAATACTCGGTACCGACGTCTACGCGGACATTATTCTGCCTGGGACACTGCCCACATCCTTCGGACCACTTTTAGCTCAGAGTACCGTCTTTGGATGGGTGCTCTCGGGCGTATACAGAGCCTAACTTGTAATTAATTGCTATTATGCTTGAATTTATGTTATTTTCATTTGAATTATTATTTTTTCAATAAAATGCATTGAATTGTAACCACTATTGTACCTTTCATTCTCCCCCTTTTTTATAGCAATTTAGGAAGAAGAAAGACGAAGCTCATAGCGATGACTGTCGCAGTGGTTACCTGATGCTGAACAAAAATGTTTTTTCTAAAAAACTTTACCTATTACTATATAAAATCAACAGAGAGAGCTTGGTGGCTGAAACGCGTCCAAATTTTTAGATTTGCTTATCGCAAGGTGGCCGGGATGTTTAGACTATCAGTCTAAATATTCCCACAAAGTAATGTCCAGCCCTAATATTCTGATACATTAGGGATCCGCCCTAATGTAGGCATATGTAGACACAAATACACACATATACATATACGCGCTAACACTATTATTCCGGCCGTTAACTATTATATCCCGCCGGACAGTGAACTTTCGTTAAGTTTCCCCTTGAAGTGGTAGCTAACTGTACGGCGGTCTAAAGTAAAATTCGGTAAATCCTTTACTTCACTTCTTTTTGGAAGATCAAAGCGGAAGCATCGCAGCTACCAGGCCTCTTCACTACAGGTAATCTCATTGTCACGAGAAGCAAATATTCTTAGTTGTTTAAATAATTTGACGCCAATAAATATTACAAAATACTAATCCAATTGCGTTTTATATCTTTTCTATTATCTTCAATAAAACCACGGGTGCGCTCATTCGAAATCCCTGCGGCGCAACTGGGTTTCTTCAGCTTTTATGTGGCAAGCACAATAATCATACCAAGTTTGGTACAAATTGATCGAACGGTTACCGAGATTCACATATGTATGTGGTCATAAGTGGGCGGTGCCAGTCCCATTTTCCAAAATTTTATCATAAACGTATTTTTTGCTAAATAATTATTGCAAACATCAATTTTGAATAAATTAGCTACAGTATTTACTGATTTATTGAAGATTTCGTATTTCTCTAAATAACCGTTATATGGGATGTGGGCGTGGTTATGGTCCGAATTTAAAAATTTTCAGTCGTTTGGTATGTTGTACCAAGGTCAACAACTGTGTCAAGTTTGGGAGAAATTGGTCAATATTTATTTTGAGTTAATAAACTTCAATAGTTACTAAAATATCGCAGTTTTCGTATTTCTGAAAACTACCGTCATATGAGAGGTAGGCGTGGTTATTGTCCGGTTTTGCCTATTTTTAATACCATCCGTCTTACGCTAAAAAGAAGTACACATACCAAATTTCGTTAAAATATCGCAATTTCTAATCGAGTTATCGTGTGCACAGACCGACAGACGGACAGACAGTCACCGCTTAATCGATTTCTTTTTCAATTCTGATCATTTATGTATTTAAAAAAAAAACGACTTTTTTACCCTTCTGTGTATTTGTTTAAGTTTTTCCCACAAGATTTTGTATCACCTGATATGAAACTTCCCCTTTAAATTCGCTGGCTCGAAATTGGTTTTAGACCCATAGGTTCTTAAGCAAAGTTGCTCAGAATGATTCGTAGAGCATTTTCCGCATATGCGATTTTTCAGTTTCTCTGATCCCTTACAAATCGACCCGCTCTATCGCCCATTACATTCTCAATTAAGTTTGAGATAACTCCTTCAGCATCGTTCATGAAAAACTCCATTATAAATTCGTTATTATCCATACCTTTCGGTAAACTAATTATTTCACAAAATTGTAATTTATTATTTTGGCGCA